TTAAAAGAGAAGAAATGTTAAATCAATTTGTTGTATAAATAAATTCTAGGATAATTAGTAAAATAAAATTTACATTTTTAAACTTAAAATTTAAAATAAATGTGTTTTATGTATAAAAGTGATAAATAAATCAATGCTGAACGATAATTACGAATCGTTCAATGCAAATTGAGCGATAAAAAAATCATTATTCAGTTCAAATGATGATGATGAATCGTTCGATACAAATTGAATGATAAAAAAATATCATTCAGTTTGAATGATAATGACGAATCATTCGATGTAAATCAAACGATAAAAAAATCATCATTCAGTTCGAACGATGATGATGAATCATTTGATATAAATTGAATGATAAAAGAATCATCATTCAGTTTAAATGATGATGACAAATTGTTCGATCAAATCGAATGATAAAAGAATCATCATTTAGTCTGAACGATGATGAAGAATTGTTCGATCAAATCAAATGATAAAAATCATCATTTAATTTCGAACAATGATGAAGAATTGTTCAATTTGCATTGAACGATAAAAACTATTGTCAATTCCGAATGATGATGATGAATCGTTCGATGTAAATCAAACGATAAAATAATCATTGTTTGATCAAATAGAACAATAAAATCATTGTTCAGTTCGAACGATGATGAAGAATCCTTTGATGCAAATTGAACAATAAAATCATCGTTCAATTTCGAATGATAATGATGAATCGTTCGATGCAAATCAAATGATAAAAAAATCATAGTTCAATCGAATCAAATGATAAAAATCATCATTCAGAATTGAATGATAATGACGAATCATTTGATGCAAGTCGAACGATAAAAAAATTATACTTTGGTTTGAATGATGATGATAAACCTTTTGATGCAAATTAAATAATAAAAACCATTGTTTGTTTCGAATGATGATGATGAATCGTTCGATGCAAATCGAACAAAACCGATATTATGTTTCATTGACGAAATATTGACTTATATTTTATAAAAACACTTTAAAATTGAAAATATGAATAAAAATATTAATGAAAATTAAAATTCATAAATTGACATTTTATTAAAAAAATTTATTAAGTAAAATCAAATAAATACTTTATTATTCGTTATTTTTATGAAATTTTAACATTTTTAACTCCAATTTAACCTTTTCATTTTCAGCACGTAACTTTTCTAATTCATATTGTTGAATTAACTTATTTTCTTCTAAATCTATTTTTTTTCATAAAACCTATCCCTTAACTTCCTCATTGCAGCAATCACTCCAGATAAACCTTCAATTCCATTTACTTTCTTTTTTTTCTTTTTGGATTCATCAGTTTCATAATTTTCTTTATTATTTAAATTTTCGTTATCAGAAATAGAATCTGTAGTTGAAGAATCTGTAATATAATCTGGATTAACAGTTTTGCTTTGTGCTAAAATTTCTTTCATTTGTGAAAACTAAGCCCAATTTACACTTCTTTCACCAGTAGAATTAGCTTTTTTTTTGCAAGTACATTTCACGTAACTTTTCCACCTTATTTCTAATTTGCTCAAAAGATCGATCAGGCTAAAGATGGTACAGCAATTGATTTCAAATTTACAAAATGTTGCAACATAAGCTAAAATTAGTTGCAACATATATAGGTTAAAACTAATTGCAACATAAGTTGCAACATTAAAAGTTGCAACATATTAATTACAGTTCCCATCTTTAGGTTAGGCATTTGCTTATGGTTGTTAATTATCTAAATAATTATCCTACATGTCTCATTCGAGAACCAGGGACTAAAAAATGGGTTTTGTACCTATAAAAGCTATCATGTTAGAAAAAGTAGAATTGAGATCATCCATAAAATATAAGCGCTTAGTTGAAAAAGATGAAATAACGTTAAAGAAAGGCGATACTGTTCGATATCTTCTTGCTATTGCAGAATGGGAAGGAGGAATGGAGAATCAAAAGAGGGCTACTAATCCTACATACTCACCTTCTATTCATAAAATTCAGAAAATTGTAGTAATAAAGAATGAGCCAGTATTATATTATCTCGAAGGTGATGAATTTTACACCAAAGCAGAGGTCTGTGCGAAAAGAACACATGTTAATAGTTGATCCAGAAAAGTTGGGTATCTACCTCAAAGTATATTATCCATAAATTTCGTTATGCTTCTCCTATCAATAATGAATTAAACCAAGCCATTAGTTATGCTTAAAAACGTGGTGGTCAATGTCTGGAAAAGACTGGAGAAATAAATGGACATAATGTATATCTTTGTTCTTATAAGGATAATGCATATTAATGGGAATATCCATTAAAATACATCATGAAGAAATTTGAGTTATGTCCTCTTTGTCATCATTTCACTGAAAGAAATGTATGATATATTTTTGAGGATCTGCTAGACAAAAAAATCTTATCCTGTAGACTATCATTTTGAATGGAATGCAATTCAATGGATATAACGAAAAACTACAACTAGCATTCGAATTCCATGGTCAGCAACATTATACTCTTAATTCAATGTTTCATAGGAAAGGAGATATAGATTTGGAGAAACAAAAATCACAAGATTAGAAGAAGCAGGATATATGCAAGGAGCAAGGTATATATCTTATCGAAGTTCCCTATACAGCTGATCTCCTGTCCTATATCAGACATACTCTAATCGAGAAAGGGTTCTTGAATAATTCCCCAAGTTAAGTAGAGAAGGCTTACGATAGCCCATCTGAAAATTTCATAATATATTTTTAAAATATGATATTAAGCAATATGAAAGATCATAAGAAATATAAAATTAGAAAGCTTGATCCAGTAGATAGAATCGTTCTCCATATTGATGAGATAAAAAATGCAAAAAGATTTAATGGATTAAACTCAACTCCCCAATGGTCTTTCACAGTTCTAATATTAGGTCGAACTAATTCAGGAAAAACTAATGAAGTTGTGAATCTATTATTAGGAAATAAGCTATATCGAATGTTTAATGATAAAAAGGAGGGACATGATATGGGACCTTTGCAATAGAAAAGGGGAAACGGCTAAAAAAATCAAAAGTGAGTTAATGCTAAATTTGAACATATTTCAGCATAAAAATCATATTTGGCATATAAAGTAAAATTAATTTTTCCTAGCTGTTTCCCCCCTTTCTATTGCAAAGGCCCCATATATTAAAAATGATGATCTTCTTTTGATTAACTACCACCTCAAAGAGCCAAAATACTTGTATCTCAAATCTGGTTATTAGATAATTGCAAATAGCTCAAAACCATATTGTGAAGATATTACATTTCGAGTAATAAAACCTAATAAAATTCCAAAGCTAGATTCATTCTTTCCAGAAAGAGATACAGTGGCCATATTCAAAAATGTATGCGCTGATTCAAAGGAAATCCAGGAGAAAATCATTTCTTATTTTACTGAAGGGTGTCACAAAAATATTAGCAGTATATATATCACACAGAGCTTTTTTGATTGTCTGAAGCTAATAAGAAAAGAATTAAATTATATCATATTCTTTAATGGCTCTACTTCTGATGAACTAGCCCGTATTCTTCGCCTATATATTTATGATTAACGTAGTATATATGAAGATATCGATAACTATTTGATTGATCGCAATTTTATTATCTTTGATTTAACGGTATCTCCAAACCATCCTCACAGAATACAAGCTGGATGGAATAAAATTTTAAAAAAATGTCCAAGCTAGTGAGTAGAATCTGACTTAACAGATGCTAACTTTTTTTCTACCTCCAATACCTGCATCTTCAGATCCTCGATCTTGTAGCGTAATATCTTATTTACACTAACCCTTTTTCTATAATTATTATCTATGTCTTGTATCATTTTCCCAAAAGTCTTTCTATTATAATCAAGCAGATATTGAGATAAGACTTTAAGTTCATTCATAACTTGATGGTTATTTTCTTTCTCGAGATTATAAGGGATACTATCAGTTTGGACCTCACTATCTAAAACACATATATATGGTAATGCTAGAAATACATCACATTCCGGTCAACTTCGAGGACGTAGTAATTTTTTCTGAGTCATGTTTTTGTTTTTCCTATTTAATGAATTCTCATAAATCTTGCCTTTTCATGTTTATTTAAAAGCAAAAAATATATACTTTAAGAAAGATAGAAATTAAATATTAGATAAAATGCTTTTTACTTTAATCAATAATGCATTAGTCTTTTTAATTTGCTCTAATTTGGTTGAGAGATCAATATCTTCTGTTTTGGTTGCTTTATCCAAGGAATCAGTTTGTATTACTTTATCTAAAAAAGTACTATTTTTTGTCTGCATTCCAGTATCTATATTATAAAGAAAAGCTTTTTGAGATTTTGCATTATTGTAAATAATTAGCTTATTATGTAAATCTTGCTCAATCTGATCACTTTTTTCTGTAATTTCTTCTAGTGAAACAGGGTTATATCTCATATTAAGTAATTGATTAAAAGATCATTTGACTAAACTTGATGGCATTTGATTTATAATAGGCTTATAATCAAAATGGAATGTAGGTATTTGTGTATATAAATCAATAACTTCTTCGATATCTGCGATATCTGCCATTTAGTAATGAATTTATTTTAGTTATATAATATTGTTACATGAAAATGACATAGATGACTCAAATGACGGATATGACTGCAGTGACTAAAATGTCATATATGTCTTCTATGTCTTATATCTTATATATTTCTTTTATTTCTTATATTATATATATATCTTTTATTACTTATATTTCTTATATTTTATATAT